TGAAGAGGATGTGTAGTATCTTGGCAGTTGCTGTTACATTTGCTTACAGTGCCTCCGCCGGGATGTTGTCTGGTCCCGCTGCTTTGCCACTCTTGACTTGTCTAATGGCCATGCTGATCTCTTCAATTGTTGGTGGGCCAATATCGATTGGTAGGTCTGTGGGTGCTGCTTCGATGTTGGGTGGGTTCAGTGGAGCTGGTCGATTCAAGAGTTCTTTGAAGTGTTCTACCCACCTGTGTCGTTGTTCTTCAATGTCGGTGATTACTTTGCCTTCCTTGTTTTTCACTGGTCTTTCTGGTCTACGGTAATTTCCAGCAACTTTCTTTGTTGTATCATACAGTTGTCTCATGTTTCCCTCTCTTGCAGCCTTTTCCGCTGTCATCGCTAAATCTTCCACATATTTACGTTTGTCGGTTCTGATGCTCCTCTTCACTTGCTTGTTTGCCTCTGTGTATTCGGCTTGTGCCTTGGCTTTTTCCGCTCTTGTTCGGCTGATATTGATTGCTGCCTTCTTGTTCCTTCTTTCTTCAACTTTATCCAGTGTACCAACAGTGATCCATTCCTTGTGATGATGCTTCTTGCAACCCAGAACCTCTTGACATGTTGAAACGACTGCCTCCTTGATACCTTTCAGGTGCTCTCCATGGTAGTCCCCTCTCCATTGAGTAGATCATAAAAGGCCTCGAACCTGTTGCTGAGGGCTATGTTGAATTTGTTGAGTTTGTCAGCATCTCGAAGAAAGGCCGTATTAAACTTTTGTGATGTTGTCCGCGCCGTTGTCCACTGCTTCTTGAGTTTTAGTTTCATCTTGGCGACCAGCAAATGATGATCGGATGCTATATCAGCCCCTCTTCTGGTTCTCACATCCTCCATCGTCCTCCTGAACGTTTTGTTGATGCAGATATGGTCGATTTGATTCTGTGTAATGTGATCCGGTGAAATCCAAGTGGCTTTGTGTTTGTTTTTGTGTGGGAATATGGTGCCACCTATGACCAGTTTATTGAAGGCACATAGGTTTGCAAATCTCTCACCATTTTCGTTCCTTTCTCCCAGTCCATGTTGTCCCATGACGTCTTTGTATCCAGTGTTATCCATTCCAACCTTAGCATTGAGATCTCCCATCAGAATTATGAGGTCCTTGAGTGGGCATTTCTCGATGATCGACTGCAGTCTATCATAGAATTGGTCTTTAGCGTCTTCATCGTAGTCATTGATAGGCGCATAGCATTGGATGACGTTCATTGTAATGCCCTCTCTCTTTGTTTTGAAGGAGGCTTTGATGATCCTTGGTCCATGAGGTTCCCATCCAATAAGTGCATTTTGTGCTTTTCTGGACAGCATCAATGCAACTCCTTGTGTATGTGGGGCATTTTCTTCTTCATGACCGGAGTATAACAGAAGTTCTCCTGAAGACAGTTGTTGTTGTCCAACCTGCGTCCAATGTGTTTCGCTGATTCCAAGCACCTCCATGTTGTATTTTCTCATTTCCGCAGCAATTTGAAAGACTCTTCCGATCTCCCACATTGTTCGGACATTCCATGTACCTATAAAAATTGTCGCTCTGGTTGTAAGAAGGTGCATCGGCCTCATGACTTCCGAAGGAACTCGGCTTTCATCATGAGACGTCATAATTATTCCTTCTACTCCCAGGGCAGAGTTTGAATGGTTTGAATGATTTTTTCTGGTTAGCGTTTTTTTAGCGAGTTGATTTTCTACGGGATGGGGTCGCTAACCGCATGCCCAACCCTCCTCCTTTACCCGGGCTTGGGACCGGCAGTAACCCCCAGAGGAGCTACAGGCGGAGTTTCTTAGTATTGATGACTGTTGTAATTTTGAATTCCAAATACAATACATTCGTTCGGGCTCATCTGATACTTCTTGATTAAATTGCGTTATTCCGGGGATTACTAGTTCATACTACAATTCAAATACTTCTAATTATCATATAGCGTTAAATAGATCCACAAAAACTAGTTCTGTGAATCTTCGACAGTGATACTGATCCCACTAGTTTTAACGGACTCACCGTGGCTGAAGACGCTCGGACAAATATCCGCACCAGGTCACTATTGGGTAACCCGTACTACGCATCCCCTGCAACTGCTAACCAGCTAAGATTACATACACCTGGACAAACGGAATACCTTCCAAATGTACCTCCAAAATCCCTCATTCGTGACTTCTATTTGACCAGTTTTGAGGTTATTGATTGTGAATGTATTGCGAATAACAGCGGCGTCAAACAGTGAATATCAGTAACATCTTTAGTGATGAGCCCGACGTGATCTTGTACACTAAAATATTAACATTGTTTCTGGTACCTGTTGTAACATAACAAATTTGTTACATATCGTGATATTTCAGCTGTGTTCTCGGATTTTTAAAAATATTTGTATACTTTATTCTTAATATATCTGGACACATACTCAAGAGCCTTACGCTCCCACCTCCCAACTCACGTCATTCTGGCCTGACAATATAGAGGCCTGGTAGTGCTTTACAGAGGCGGGTTTAACAGGTACGATAAACCTATTATATTTATTGACGACCGCTCTGAGCCTCATGACAATTTTAAAAAGGATTCTGAAGATTACCAGAGCCCTCTGTACTGCGATTTGTTCTCTTAAATAAACCCCACTGACACAAAACAAAATTACAGACGTCTGTATTACTCCCACTCACCTTCATTAAACACATCATGATCATGTGCTAAACTCTCCAGAGAAGCCCATTACGATAAACGTCTGCTTTTAGACTGTGAGATATAGATAACACTTAGGGGTGTTGGCGTCAAAACACTCGTGGTCAATCTTTCAAAAATTTCAGGAAACCCTGCAGTTCATCTAACCCCAAAACTTACGACAGGATAAACCTTCAAGGACAACCCCTCTCCAGCATGCGTTAATGGCAGGAGTAGCTGTTGGATATGGACGTCTATTGTGCGTAACCGTTGTTATGACGAAAGTTCTCTAGTACATCAAATTGGTGTAAAGTCGGCCTCATTCTCACAAACAATGACAATCGTCTGCAAGGAACAGTTTTCGATTCACAGGCTGTGAAAGACAAATCGGACACCACTTACGGTTAAAGGCATATTCGTCTTAACGTGAGTTTACTTAAACGCATCCGCTTGATTTTTTTGTTGTAAACGAGTAAATGATGATCATCGTCACAGACCTGCTACAAAATGACACACATGACGACCCAAGTGAACTGAGAAACTACATTTTTGTTTGCACATTTCCATCCCCTAATATTAGATAATAACCGGTTACTATAAGGCATATAATCGATCCCATACACAACAATGTCTAAGTTCGCCTACAGTGCGCATGCATCTGCGTCTCCTGTTGTCTCACCAGATTTTCACATCGGCGTATGTTGGCATTGGGGGCTCAACTATACTTTGGAGTTCTTACATGCAGTCTAAAAAGTAAAGGATCAAATACGGAGTCTTTCGGTACTGAACTAGTTTCCATGAGGGGCATTTGGGATTGATTCTTACTTTCCGTCTACGACCTATCAAGAATTCTTCGATCCATTTCAGGAAATATCTGGCATGTTAGGGTTGCTCAGTTTCACGAGTAGTCTATTTTTTGACTCCTTATCACATGATCTGTTGAAGTCTATGAAGAAAGCATCCATGGTGGACGATATATCTGGTAAGTCGTACAAAGGTAGACCGAGGTTCCTTAACTTACTCATGACAATTAGATCAAAAATCACTGACTTATCACGATGTTATTTATAATTTTGGTGGTCCGACCTTACGTTTTCTCCCCTCTACAACTTATTACATGATTGGGCAATCCCCGAGTTCTCGCAATCAAAATGAGTAGTTTTAAGTATTGATTCAATTGCAAGAGTTTGTGGTGGGTCCCAGCAAAAGATATTATCAAAGATACAACGATGCACAAAGTTACCAATGACATACCAAAAAGAATCATCACTGCAAACCCAAGTGTATGCTTATGAGCAAGATGCAACAAATTACAGTTACAAACCTTTTGATAGGGGTGAAGATACGACTAGTATACTGATTTTACAACCTGCTGCCAGTAGCACCTTATATATTCGAAGCTTTCCCGACCAATGGAAATCAGAAATCAGACGAGAAGATGTAGGAAAGATATATTTGATACGTTACCAATATATCGAGAGGCGTTTGTTCTTAGCTATCTAGTGAAACGTAGGAGCAGTGCCCCACTCTGAGTCGAAACTTTGGAGAGAGATACACAATCAAGGGGATGAACCGGCACTTCAGAAGGATCTGACTCGACTTCAGTGTTGAGCATATGACAACGGACTTTCTTTCAACACTTCAAAGTGTGAAATAGTACACTCGATTGATGTTGCATACCACAGCTACAACTTAGGAAACTTCTCTCTATAAGTATCCCAAGTCGAAAAAGTTTCAGCGGTGCCTGTATCCTAATATTTGAAGTCTTGCTCTTACTGCAACAAAAATGCTTTCCGAGTAAACCTAGCACTACTAATATTGCAGCGCATAGTCGGCCAGTTCTATAGAAGAACTTTCCAAAAAATCTTCAACCATTCTATTCGTCTTCATCTACAGTACGAAAACATAGTATTTCCTACCTCACTCCAAAAGGATGAAGACATTCTGGAAATTATCCAACGTCGAGCCACCAAATCAGTTCGGAGACTCAAATTCAAGCATTAAAATGAGCTCCTCCAATCACTGGACCTTTGCTCATTAGAGTACAGACATCTTGAAAGTGACCTTGTGGCTTGCAGCATCCTAAACGCTTCTGGACAACCCTCTTAAACACCTAATTAGGATTAGTATCAACACAAACCTTAGGCGTAACTTCCAGAAACAGGAGACACAACGAAGAAGAACGGACTGTAGGCAAACCTCCTCCCTAGAAGTAGTCAGATGATGGAAGTCGTTGACGGATGAGCTAGTTCAAGAGACTTCATAGGATTCCTTTAAGAAAAAGCTTGACATATTCTTTATGACTAAGGACAGTATCTTACCATGAATTACAAACCTTTTTCGTTTCCCTCTTTTATCGGTAATATACCTCGGTTCCTGCCTGGAGCTTTCAGTGATCCACTGATACTAGATACAGAAGCTCGTTAGGTAAAACATTCTTCTGTTCCGTTCAGAAACATTTGGACCTAACCACTTTCTGCGTTAATCCTTGAGTATTGCTAACTTTTCAGAAATCTAGTGGCGGAAATTTTGGAGCTTGCGCGTTGTCATCAGCTTGCTTACTCATGTTTAACCCTTATTCGTCTAATGGAGGGTAAGTGCCCAAGTATACTCACTTTGAGTTACTTTAGGACTGTTATGGGAATTGCCGGAAATGATTTCTCCCTCATAGCTTCTGACACTCGTCTATGCGATGGTGATTTTGTCATTCTCTCTAGAAACTCTCCTCGATTGTTCAAATTGTAAGTAACTATTTATTATTGACATGTATCAGGGGTCCTGGTAATATACTAGGGTGCGCCGGATTTCACGGGGATGTTTTGACATTGACCAAATTGTTAGAAAATAAAGTGAAAGTCAGTCCTGTTTTCGTATGAGTAATATTTTGCAAATGTAGACGTTTCGTTATGACCATGGAAAAAACATCTCGACGAAAGCACTAGCCGGCCTTTTGTCTGTAACTCTTTATAACAGACGGTTCTTCCCATTTTATGTAAGCAATGTACTAGTAGGTCTGGATGAAGGCCGTGGTGTGCTATACAGTTATGATCCTGTAGGATCATATGAATCTGAAGGGTACCGGGCCTCCGGCAGTTCTTCGGCAATTCTGCAACCGTTTCTGGATAGCACAGTGAGTTTGCTCTTCTAGATTTATTTACTTCTTAAAGGTTGGCAATAAGACCTCGAAATATCACGTGTCACGTTTGGACAAGGAAACAGCGGTTAAACTTACTCATGATATATTTATCAGCGCTGCAGAAAGAGACATACAATGTGGTGATAGTGTTATAATCTACACAATCACTAAAGATGGGTTGAGTGAAGTCTCTTATCCATTGAGACGCGACTGAAAAACTATTCCGGGACTTTGTATTTCACATTTCCAGTACCGTTTGTAAAGTAATTATTCTCTGAATTTTTTCATAGGGCAACCATCGTGCTCTGAATAGTTTAATTCAAGTCCCATTTCTGTTATCAAAGTTTTATTCGTGACTCTCTAAACAGATATAAAAACTTCAATAAAGGTATTCTATGGCAAGCTTCTGGGGAACTCGTGCCTATCCTGTCACTTGCTAAAGATGAAGAGTGTCAAGAGTATGAGTCAGTACGTTTCACCAAAACTATCCTACAGCATTTAAGTCTTCAAGATTTGAGAAATATATGAGCCTGACTTAATAAATCGTTACTATCGACGATCGGAATTCATATAATTTCAGTAGCGTTTTCCGTGTATTTTTAATAGGATTAAATGTGAATCCTAATGTGAAGTGAAGCCTAGGAGTTTGCTATATTACTTTAGCCCATCACACTATATGCTTGTACTCTCACCCTGCTCTGAACTGCAGCTTATCGGCTACAACACATTCAAGTTGCAGCCGTACATCACTTGCCCCGGTCTATCCAACCAGGTAGCATGACTAGCTTTAAGAGCAAGTGTACTAACCTACACTCACTTATTCAACTCGATTCAATCACTATTTAAGTAGATGATCAATGTTACTAGCCTTTATATCAGCCATTCGTGTGCAACGTAGAACCTAGCACATGTGTTCATCAGTCCAAATTGCCATACAACATTAGCACAGCGAGATAAAACTATCAAGACAAATCCCGTAATAGATGTAATAACAGTATCGTTAGTGACAGGAAAGTTAAGTATAGAGAACGAGGAAAAGGTATAAGGCAGTCTACAAACCTAGGGTTCAACGTAAGAGAAAGCGTGAATGAGCCTGCACTATTGCAAACGATTCTGAGTCATGTCATTTAAAGTACCTAGGCATTGACTCGGAGAACCACACAAAGCCTATCCAGGTAGTCTACACTGACAAACACCCCTCAGTTCAACTGTAAATCGTTCCATTTTCCGTTGCTACTTTTCAATTTGACCACCAAGAGCCCTCCCCTGCAGTGGATATACCCCGTCAAGTTAGTCAGTGGTTGGATTCACCTAACCATCTCGGTCGGTAGAGATTCACTACCTCAACTGATTTGCGACCCCTACTCAGTACTCTGCATCTAAGAACAGCGTTGCTAACTCGATAGTCTCCAAATACACGGGACTATATTATTCGTGTATTGATACAGTAAGTGATTCTCCTGGTAAGAGATTGACCCCTGTAAAGTCGGGCGACCAAAAGCCTTACCTCTAGAAAAGTATCTACGAGAAAGTAAAATAAGTGTGGAAATCCCTGCGAAACAAATCAGGACTGATGAGTCTTCACGTATTTCTAACTATAGGGGATATGTCTACAGGCGTCGCATCCATTTTTATATGTTGTATGGCTCAGTAAATTAAGCGCATCTGCATAAGCACGTTTGCATGCTTGCACAAGTTCGGATCACAACTAATATACAAACTAAAGCGTCACCCCCGAGGTCTTATAATGTTGAAATACTTTCCGACCGTAATGTTTGTTGAGAATTTTACCTCAAACTGATTAGTAGTATTGTTTTTGAAATACCAAGTATCCAATTTATTATGTTACTAGTCTCTATATTGGAGAGTCAAGGACGTTTCGTTTGGTTAGTCACGTTTAGATGCAACTACTGGGAGAATTCGGGTCATTTTTCATTTAGCTTCGAAGATACAATAATGTAGATGAACTAAGTACTTTTATGTAAACCATGATAACAACCACGTAGCATTTTGTACTAAACAGCTCTCCATTTCGTAGGAAACCGTGTAGGTATTGGATAAAGTAATAATATTGGTGAAGGAAAACATGACAGTCGTAGAAAAGCTTGGTGGTTTCCACTAAAAGTACTTATGGGGCTTCAAATTTTACTTATTTTTACGCCAGATAGATAAATGTGCTTGCAACTACACAGCCAAAAGGATTTTCTTCGCATACAGCCAGAAACATTATACATAATCTTAGTAATTTTGAACTTGACTAGATTGATTAATAAGAATGCGAACAATTCAAATCAATTTAACCTGAGTATCAGCTGAAAAGAAGGATTGCAGTCACTTTTATACGATTCATAAATATGTGTTTATCCGGTTGTCGCCTGAACAATAACTTGCTAATAACAGTTTATTTGTCTCGGCTACATTAAGTATGAATTGAATTCTTAGTGAACACAAAGTATTGTAGTAACAGTATTTTGATGTATTTTCAAAATTGCTATGATGAAAAACATAACCTGAATTCCCCAGTTCAAACCACAGCATAGATACTAATAGCTTGAACTATTACACATCTTTATAAACATAGAACTGTCAGATGATATTGATCCTCCTTCATTCCATCTACCATTCGGGTTTACCCTATTTTACACTAAGTGGTCAAGAATACGACGGGTTTTGAGAAACAAGCTCAGATGTCATTAATACTTTGAGGTCATGGCTTATAATCGTTCTTAATATCAGAAGTGGAAACCGATACTGTACTGACGTAGAAAAAGAGGAGTATGGTTTTTCCCGAGAAATATATTTTTTCAATCTATTTGTACATCATATCTCGTCAACCGTATCAAAGTTTTTGGTCTAGATCTAGATGCTGAATGTACTGATATTTCATTACTTTAAGCTTTGCTCCTGAAGATTTAATCATAAGTAACCGTCATGGAAGCTGTGTTGCTTCAGTGTTGTTACATAGACAATTTAAATAATATGAATTATTTCGAATAATTTACCTAACAAGTTGATTATAGTATGTATTACTAATAGTCATCCAGGTAGTAATTATTAACTTAGTAATCCTGGACAGCTTTGCGTTTTTGCCAACTTTGCGGTGGGTTAATAAGAGTGGAAACAAAAAACACCGACTTTATGTAAATGGATTATTGTAGACCGGTTATCTGAAGACGTAAAATTGTAGTGAAACTAAAACTGTTTGGGGTTACTGTTATGTAAGCAAAAGTAGAATAAAAAAATACAAGAATGATATATGCGTTACAAAAATTGGATTAAAGGTATTCTCTATCTACAGCTTTAAAAAAACACCAAATAAAGTAACTTCCTTACACACAAAAAATAGTTATGACTCAAAAGTGCTACGCAATTAGAAAAAAAGCCGTTTGAAGTCAGTTGCGTTGTCTTATCATACGTAGATTATGAGACAATTGTCCAGTTTCCCCTATGTCTCCAATGGTTGTCAAACTAAGGTCAATCCGTGATGTAAATTACAAAACAGTTGTTGAAAGCCAGACAGCAGTTAGTAGCTTTCGTCTAGGCTTAAAACTTTAGGAATTCACACGATACTATCCTCAACTAGCACTATAATATCTGTCGTACACGTCCCTTTGGAACCGCTAAATTGGTAGAACTCATCTGTGGTAACCGCTCCTTGGTGTAAATCGTAACGATCAAGTACATCGGTTTACTCGTACATTAAAATAACGTTCTAGTATAGTAGCAAATAAATAACAGTTAAAAGGTATTTAGTTAATACGTGTTTTGCATGGAATGTAATATCAGTGCACAGGATCGTAGTATAAACTCACCTGGAATGTATATTTGAGTCATCAAGTGGATGACGTTTTTGCAGTACTTTACTAGGATCTTAAATACAAGTTTCTCATACAAACTTACCAGTAACAAGGGCCTTTAAGGTCTTAGTCGACCTTATCAGTTCGATTACAAGTGTTAAATAGACGTAGAAAAATAAACAACCATGGAATCTATTTTATTTCATTGTAAGCCATTAACATAAATTATAAATAGGATTGATTCTACATAAACTTTATCTACAAGCATTCATAACATTTATCCAGTAACATTAAATTTACAAGATAATACATATTACATTTATTACAGAATTAATTACTTCACTTCTGATTAGCTTTGTACATTAGGCAGGACAATTCATCATCATCAATATGTTTTGTCGTTCGTAAATCAAGTATGAAACTGAAAGGTACATGTTTAACACGAATATTTATTTTGGATGCATCAGAGTGTGATGATTTACAATCAAATGATACATATTTCAAAGGTCTCTTGAATGTTCTACCACTACTTTTAATACCAAAAGCTCCATAGGTATCAATCTCAATAAACTTTTGTAGTGTCGAAGTATTGTTATTCTCAGCGGTTATTAGAATTATATTGCGAATCATACGACGTGGTATAAGAATTCCTCCAAGAAACGTAGAGAAAGCTAGAAATGTTTTTATATATACAAACAGTGAATTATCTAAAAGGAATTGACGTGCATAGTCTTTGAACTGATATGTGTTTCAATGACCTAAACAACTTTTAATCGCCTACTCATACAATGACTGACTAAAGTTCGGCTACTGTTTTTATCTATTTATTTATTTAAACACATAAATATTGGTACAAGGAAGCACCAGATAAATATGCGCCTCACAAATCTCATTCGATTTGTGTGAGGGCTGTGATACTGCCCGGTTTCTCAAAACGAAGCAGGTAGTTTTCTTAGGGGGCCACACCCGGAGCCTTTGATCTGAATGTCTGATCCACAAGGCAGTGGAGCATCGTGAGGAGATGCAGTCCCATGGTAGCCGGTGATCAACGGTTGATTCGTACGTTATTTGTTCCCTCAGGATACTGGAGCCCATGCGCACCACTGGTTTGGAATCAGGGTTTTCCAACTCCCCTAGGTGAACTTTCCATGTCCACCAACCCGGTTAAAGCGCCGGACATTCGCTTTTCGTCCTCTCACTTTCGTAAACAACACCCCCGCCACGAGAAGGCAGTGAGTAGGACTTCCCTGGCAGAGGCTATATATTCGCTGGCCATAAGAGAGCATTTCGAGAGGGAGAGGTGACTCTCCCCACTCTCGGCCGTACCAGGGCATTTGGGGGTTCGGCTACTGTTACTGACAATGGCAAAAGTAGTCATTCTTAAATTTCCAAAAATGCTTTCATTTTAGTGTAAGGGCATAGAAATTGATCTTTTTAAATAAAAATTAGGAGAGCAAGTTTCGTGCTTATACCTGAACTCAATTTTTATGGGACTATTAGAATCTTGGCTGGTTTATAGATAACTTACATTGTGTATAGAAGGTTGTTAGAAACACTAGGAATTACTTTACTGTATCCAGCTCTATTAGAAAGCCATCGGTGCCGAACTACCATTTTGAAGTTAGATGACTGTTATTTGGAATTTATGCTAAGTTATGATACGGTGCATACTTTCCAGGGTGTGATGAAATTTTCTGTTCTGTCTTGGCCTCAGAAACCAAACACTTCAGTTAAAGAATCTATCTCTCATAAGACCTTCAACAACTAACAGATTTTATGATATTTTCAAATTTGTAGAAGAGTAGATCAACTAAATTACAAGTTGAAGGTTATGGTATACTTGACTAAAAAGTTATTTTATGGAGATCTTTCCGAAACTTGAGGGTGTAAAATATCAACGAATAAGGTTCTTATCATATAGGAATTATAGTTTTCGAGTAGATCAGTCGTTTGTTTTTGAGATCGTTAATTAATAAACTGAGTGAATATTAGGAAAAACTTATATTTTCTAGGCATCGTTACTGTAGATTAAAACGATTACAATAAACTTCACGACATCACACCGCAATTATCAAGTACGCACTCTTACAATTGAAAAATGCACGACCCGTTGCTGCTACCTTGACGTGGTGGTCGGGCTTGCCTATCGTGATGAACCAATCGAGCTATGCTGGCTGGAACAATCGTTCCTCAAGGTCCTACCATGCTAGACAGGTCGGTTGAAGAGCGGTAAGACTAAAAGCAGCAATCCGAAGGCGAAGTCGTACTGCCGACTGTACAGAGGTGTGACGGCAGCAAGGTGTTTCCTTTATACAACCAGCATAACAGCGATGCTGCCCTCAAGGAGGGGTGGGGTTAGAAAAAGTTGACCCTAAAAATGCACACCTCGCCTTATCCCACGGATTTCCGTCTCCGATGGTAAGGTCCTTCGAAGAACGGAGCTAACACGTCAAAAATCCCCCACAAAAAGGCAGTGCGTGACCAGCCTTAAGCAGTTGTCCCTTGGGCACTGCGGTCACGCTCCCAGTTCGTTATGACCAACACTAATCCAACTTCTTTTTCAGGTCCCTCAAATAATACCCTTCCACAGTGTGGGCAGCCGGGAAATGATATCAGACCTCGTACCCATAACTGCACACGAGACCAAGTTGGTCACATTCAAATCCTTCCTACACCTCCTAATAACTCTCTTATCTCCACAACTAACCCTTCTAACGTTCTTTTATCACCTTGCAACACTAGGGCGAACGATTCAAGTACGCTGAACGCTATTCCTGGTCTCCTGAAACCACGCTCTAAACTACATGTAGGAACTTTTAATGTCCGAACATTGTGCCAAATAGGACAACAGACTTCCTTAGCTAGGACTTTAGAATCTTACACCATCGATGTGTGCTGCGTCTCCGAAACGCGCATACAGGATCCGAGTAGCGTCATTCATTTGACCTAACCATGTCAAAATAAAGAACCATCTCGATACACGCTTCGTGTATCTGGAAGCTCTGATGCTGCTTCCCGTGGCCTCGCTGGAGTTGTAGCAAGCCCATTCAACTACTGTATTTTTTGTGTGCTCTCTGTAATCCTAACATTAAACCACTTTGTAAATTTATGTGTGAGTCTGATTGAGCGCATGTCTGCACATCAATCCTTAATCTGTTCTCTTATTGGTTGTACACAAAGACAATCAATAATTGATCCACAATCCATTAACACTCAAAAATATATATGGATTTTTAACACATACATTCACTTGCTTTTCCTGTGTGCTTGCTATCTGTACGCTTGCGGATTTTACCGAGCTTCAACAATAAACTATCTCTATAACTGGTGTTCAGGTTTTTGAATAATCTCGAGTGAACCCGTAATTCTACTAGGAGATTTAGCCTGCAGTAAATATTCAGTTAACGGGATATTATTTATTTATTGGAGTCAGATATAGAGGAATTAATCCTCTACAAAGTTGGTGAGCCTCATTTTGAACACGCACCATTATTCCACAAAGTTGGTAATCCGCTTTTTGAACGCGCACCATCTTTCTACAAGTCTGCTGAACATTCTCTAATCATATCATAAAGAACTTCACATTGGAATTACTGTTACAATTATTAAAAATTCATTGACAGTCATAATCTATTTACTCATAACTTTGTTCCTTTGGAATTATATCGATATATTCACATATTTGTACCCAAAGTGACAGTTATTTTTTATTCGGTGAGTCTCATATATTTCTTGTTGTTATTGGTTATTTCTTCATATTGTATATCTCAATCCACAGCTTATTATTATTACTGCAGATATTATTTCTTTGTATCATGTCACTCGATAATTCGCTTAGCCTTTCATCTAAGTCTATTTCCGTGGGTGCCATCTCTGTACCTTTACCTGTTTTTAATCCTCGAAACACAGAACTCTGGTTTGCACGCTTAGAAAGCTTTTTTGTTACAAACAGAATCGCAAACCAGAACACGAAATTTAGTTACGCAAATTCGTTGCTGCCGGATGACGTTATTGAGTAAGTGCCTGACATCATTTTTAAACCGGATCCTGACTCACCATATGATTGCCTAAAAAGAGAGGTCATACGTGTTACATCTCTCTCTGACCAGCAGACTATCGATCAACTTTTAGCGAATGTAGAGCTAGGTGATAACACACCTTCCCAATTAAAACGCCACATGACAAGTGTTTTAAGGAATCGTATAGTTGATAAACGTCTATTATATCAATTGTGGCTCAGACGCCTCCCACAAAACATACAGCAGATACTCGCAATTGGAGACGAGGATGTCGATTTTGACATTTTGGCAGACATAGCCGATCGAATTTACGAGCGGACCAGGACTCACTCGGTATCACACGTACAAACAAACTCAACCGACGAGATCGCCGAGTTACGACAGAAAGTCGAAATCCTCACTAAGCAGATGGCTCAGCTACAACTTTCGAATGCCCACCACTGCAAGTGTAGAGGAAGGTCCAGAAGTCGTACACGTCGTAGTCCAAGCACCATTCGACATAACGTTTGCTGGTACCATGAAACGTTCGGTAAACAAGCTAAAAAGTATATTCCTCCCTGTAATTTTGCAAGCACACGAAAAAGGGAACATCAAGGCCGACGATTAGTTACGACTGCGGTCTCCGGCCACAACTCACACGAAGGTCGTTTGTTATATTTCACGGACAGAAGAACCGGAACACAGTTCTTAGTCGACACAGGGACAGAGGTTAGTGTAGTACCACCTACTGCACTCGAGAAAAAGACATCTGACCCCATACTGAAACTAAGAGCTGCGAATAGATCCGAGATCAAGACATACGGCAAAAGACATTTGGAAATGCATTTCGGTCCCAAATCCAACTTCTCATGGAACTTCATCATAGCTGATGTTCTTGTTCCCATTATCGGTGTTGATTTCCTGCAATCACATAAAATACTCGTAGACGTTAGAAACCGGAAACTGGTACTTGCCGATGACAGCAGCGTAATCAAAGGAATTCTATCTAATGAGAAGTCTATACATTTATTGGTCAAACCTCATCGCGAGAATGACAAGTACGTCAATTTACTTAAACAGTTCCCAGACTTATTAAGACTGTATTTCAAACGTGACAAACTGACACATACTGTCGTACACCACATTAAGACAGAGGGACCACCAGTATTTGCACGTCCAAGGCTCCTTGACCCCTCTCGTCTGGCTTTCGCAAAGAATGAATTCAACATGATAGAGTTGGGTATCATACGCCCCTCCGATAGTCCATGGGCATCACCGCTACATATGGTACCTCAGAAAAACTCTTCTGGGGTTAGACCTTGTGGCGATTACAGAGCTCTTAACAGCAGGACTATACCAGATAGATATCCGCTTCCACACTTACATGACTTTACTCACAGTCTATCTGATGCGACGATTTTTTCAAAAGTTGACCTCGTCCGTGCCTACCATCACATCCCAATTCACCCGGACGATGTTCCTAAAACAGCCATCACTACCCCATTTGGGTTATATGAATTCGTTCGCATGCCTTTTGGATTGAAGAATGCTGCACAAAGTTTCCAACGTTTCATTGATCAAGTCGTACGTGGCTTACCGTTTGTATACGTCTACATAGATGACTTACTTATCGCCAGCAAAGATGAAAACGAACATCTAACTCATTTAAAATT